TCGGCGCTTCAGGCTAGGGACTGATATGGCCATACTCCCAACAAACTCAGTGCTGAGATGATGTTCCTAAGCGGACACTGGACCCTATTTCCAGCAGGTGATGCTCCCCACCAATAGATGGAGCAGCCTGACAGGCAAAGCTTAAATTCTGTCGGTTCTCTTACCACCACCAGGATAGAGGCCTTACCGAAGGGCTTTACCACACACACCCAAAAAAAAAAAGAAAAAAAAAAAGAAAAAAAAGAATAGAAATTCGGCAGGTAGAACTACACAGCCGCCTATTAAGTTGTTTGCGTGCATGACAGCTTAAGGCAAGTGATAGTATAGACAGATCTCATGGTTGCTACAGCTACTAAGAGTTTCTAAGCAATGTTCTGCTACACCCCATACATCCAGCGAACTGCCCTTGTTGTCGTTGCTGTTTATTTGAACAGATTTGTACTTGTAATGACAGCGCGCTGCCGGGCCCACCTATGAAGAATGAAATTTGGCAGGCAGAAGCACACTGCAGCCTGAGTTGCTTGCCTACATGACAGCCTAATGAAAGTGATAGTATACACAACTCTTTTTTTTTTCTTTTTTTTTCAAGTCCATGGTGTTGTAGAGGACAGTCACTGAGTACACAGTGATCACCTGGAGCAGTAGGCCGTGGGTGTCCTGGAATATGAGACCACCTCCCATCCCATCCTCATGTCAATACTCCTAGCGCACCCCCTATCCCACTATCCTACCTCAGTGTGACCAGCACTCAGGACCATTACCGTACCAATGGGCAGGTAACTTGGACCGAACAGCAGTGATGGGCACCAGGGCTGATAGGTTGCCCAGCCCTGGTGGAAGCGGAATCAGACGAGCCTTGTCGAATGGGAACTTCGGACGCCAGGCCCAGACAATCTACTTTAGGTCCCAAGAGACTCTGCGCCCTAGGTGTCAGACAGGGTAGCACCCAATGAAGCAGTCTTATCGTCCTTCCCCTAGGCTACAAGCTTACCCAAGCCCAGGCGGAACTCGAACTGGCCTGAGCGACTTATACCCCTACCCTTACCCCAGGGTCTAAGCCTTATATATAGTCACTAGACAGTTCTATTCGAATATCAGTAGGAACTCAGGTGGCCCATACCTGTCCCTACTGCAGATACTAGACCCCACCCAGTGACTAGAACCCCCCAGTCTGATAGTTGTGTAGTTCGCAATCTATGTGTGTACCGGAAGGCTATGTATGCTCCGTGTATCTATATATGATGTACAGACAGCACCATGTGTGGAAACTTGTGTATGTAGCCCGTAGGCCATCTATAATTCGCAGGCTATGTATATGCCCGAAGGCTATGTGTGCTCTGTGAATCAATGTATCGAGATGTATACGCAGCATCATGTGTGTATATCGAAAAGAGAACGGGGTAAGCTGGACAAGGACCCCCCCAAGGTCCGAACCAGGCTCGAACCCGGGGGGTCCGAACCAAGCTCGAACCTGTGACCTTGCAATGTGTAATCGAATGACTCTACCATGTGAACGACTAGTGTAAATGGCACGGACGTATGATATGCCAGACTGGGGAGATCAACAGAACACCCAAGACCAACACCCCCAACCAACCCATGTGAAACCCAGAACCAACATACAACACCATGAACAACCCTTTCGTGGTGCACAGGCAGTGTCTGTAATAGCTAACCTGCGTCATCCCAAGGGGGTGTGTGTCCAGCCTTGCGTCATTCTAACGCCCTGCCAGTGTCCATGCGCAAGGCTACAGACTTGAACCCGCAACCTCATACCACAATGCACATTTCCAACCGGTGCTCTAACCACTGAGCTACATCAACTGGACATAGTATACACAGCTCTCATGGCCGCTACTGAGAGAATTGGAAACAGATGGGCTGTTCTACCTCACCCCATTCACCCAGTTAACAGCCCCTTAATGTCTCAGTCTTGGAGTCTGGTTCTATCACCTATACTAAACTTCCAGCTCAAGTAGGCAAGCTAGCCTCCCCTTCCCCTACCCCAACCCTTGGTTTCGTCTGCTACTACTGTGTAAATGTTGTGAGTGTTAGGCTCTTGATGTGTACTGGTTTATTCCACATGTACTGTCGCTAAGCCGCTAAGTCTGTGCCGTTTCCCCCACCATCTCCTCTCCGGGTCCCCATGGGCTTCTGTGTCCGATGTCCATTGGAGAGACCCCAGTCCAAAGTCGCCGAGTCTGTTTCACCTGTTACTGTTCTGCTTACTGCCTGGCCAGGCCTTTTGCATAAGCAGAACTAACAGGAGTCAGGGCATGATAGAGCGCAATCGGGGGGGGGCAGGACGGGGTGGGAGGAGGGGGGGTGTCTGGAAGAGGAGGAGGGGGGGKGGGGGTKSRGGGGRGGSGGGGKGGAGGGGGTGGGGKGAGTGCGGTAGGGTATGATGAGAGCAGGGAGGTGGGCGGGAGCGCGGGGGGAGGGATATTCAGGATTTATCAGGTTCCCCCGTCGTCCAAGTTGTTCCCTCTCCTAGTATTCACGATATTCCGGATCCCTTAAGCTCTCACGGTTGGTGACCCAGAAGGGCGCTTCTATAGCCATCTCCTATTTGGCAGACACGCATTTCTTATGGTGAAGCAAGGCCGAGGTCGACTCGTGCAGACACGCACGTATATCACGACTCCGCTTTTTGGATCGTTGTCATACACGAGCACGCGCATGAGTGGGAATGGCTCGGATCTTGTCCTTCCGCGTCGGCAGGTCCGTGGTGAGCGGTCTTGTTGGCGTATCGATCCTATCCCGCATGCATGAAATTACCCTTTCTTTGCAGACATTGTCATTCCGAGTGAGATCCAGCCATTACACGCATATCCATGCTATTGGGTAACGGAAGAAAGGAAAGGGGGCAACCGCTCCGGCGTCGAGGACCAACACATCACAACATTCCCGGGGTCACACAAGAATCATTGAATCAAAGGCTGGCAATCGAATAAGAACATGCACGATGAACATATCCAACCAGATCCGGAGTTATCGCGCAGCGTAGATGGATACTAAAAAGTGACAAAATTTGGATTAAGCTAGCACCACTGAGCAAAAAAAAATGGGAGACTCAAAAAACCACTTGAGAAGGGGTGGGAGAAGGGAGCAAGTTCATTCGACAACACACAAGAAACAAAAAATCCACGACGATTCACTAGGACATCCGAAATTGCCGCAACAAAATTGACTAATGTTGGAATCAAAATTATACAGAAGGTTGGAAGAGAAACACCATCTCACGCACATTTGTTCTCTCTCTCTCTCTCTCTCTCTCTCTCTCTCTCTCTCTCTCTCTCTCTCTCTCTCTCTCTCTCTCTCTCTTTGCACTATTCCCCATGTGGGCAGTCCGTCGCCTCGCATCAACACAGAGTTGTCACCCCGCTTGGTCCGAATATGCAAGCCAGGTTCGCCCATGCCGCCCATGCGCCACAGTTCGTCGCAGCCCACACGTCAACCCCTCATACTCAGCACCAGCTCGTCGGACCGCCCAACTCTCTCGTCTACTCACCTCCTAAGCTGACTCGTTAGCCGATCCTCACTGACCGCGCTAACCTCCAAAAATTCATAGAGAGAAAACTAATCGCGCTTCGGAAATTTATAGCGTGCATGCTCGCGCGAGAGATGCAGAATTATGCCTAAGTGCAAGGAAGGAAGAGAAAGGGAGTGCCTACGTCTGCATGGCCAAGCCGCGGCGTGGGGGACGTAGCCATGCTCCACACATCGATCCGGTCATGCACTCGCTCAGGCCAATTAGAAGAGAGGTCTGAGAGGACGAAGTCTGCGTAACAGAGAGGAAGATGGCGGGGAAGCATGAGAATCAAGAAGAAGAGAAGTACAGTTACGATCGCGTCCGCCAAAAACTGCGGTTACACACAAGATTAAGGACGTGATCTAGTCAGAGCCCAGTTGTCATCGCGGCCAGACGTGCGCAAGCAAGAATCGAGGCGCAACAAGATTTCAGAGTACCTAAATTCCTAGTATTAATCCTATTTGCAAAAAAGAAATTCCGAAAAAACAGAGAAATCATTCCAAGAGCCCGTGGGGGCTCAACATCAGTTGAAAATTTGAAAAATGACATTCCCGCGCGCTGATCGTGCCAAAATTCTCATTTCCCACAGCAGAACAAGAAAGAAGTTATGGCAGGTCGTTATTTATTGTGCTCGCTAGGGCGCGGTCACCCAATCGTCTGCGTAGGACTTTCCGGGCCCTGGTCCCGAATACCAAAAAGAACGAAGCGAGGGTATCCATGCAACTTGACCAACCAACCCATACCCATGCACTCCACCCGACCAACCTGTAGGGTATCCATGCAACTTGACCAACCGACACATACCCATGCACTCCACAAGTCTACCCGACCAACCAGTACCCAACCCCCGAAGCCGCTTCGCGCAGAAAGTCGCGCGATTACAGAAAATAGTTTGTCACATATGTGATTCTTAGGGGGTTCCAATCTTGAGCAGGCTCCTACTTGCTCTCTCTCTCTCATCAGGTGTCGACCCGTGATCCGAGGATCGACGTGGAGCTTGCACGTGCCACTTACCGTAAGATCCGAGTGTGAAAGTCATCCATCGTGGCATTCGTGCGCTCAATCCTAAATGTTACTCGGGAAAGGCAATCTAATGACGGGCGAAGGCGGTGGTGGATGGACTTGTGGAAGGTGAGGCATGAAGCGACGGATTTCCCTGTCGCCAGTGGGGAGCGGGACATAGTAGTCACTATGATTGATACGAGGGAAGCGCGGGTGTCGACGCTGGTGAGGGAGGGAGGCGAGGTAGTTGGGGTAGAGAGTGTAGAGGGTGTGGCGGATGGCAGCGTGGAAATCTTCATAGTCTTCGCAAGCGGGGATTATGAAGCTCTATATTAGTAACTTCCTTCCAATCTGTGCTAAAGAGAAGGACGTGGAGGGGGAAAGAGGTGACGAGCGAGCGAGTGGTAGCATGTGGGAAGATAGTGACCAGGAGGCGGGTGGAGTAGAAATGGTGGAAGAGGGAAGGCGGGAAGGGTTGCCATCCGTTAGGGAATGGGGGTCGGCCTAGGAGCTGGTGAAGGGTGAGGAAGTCACGAGGACGGCGGGAGCGCCCGCATCTCGACGTAGGGGAAGGCTGGGCCGTGGAGAGGATTGAGCCAGCGATTCACTTCTTCGGCAGCATCGGCTTCCCGATCCCTCTGCAGTGGCGCCTCCATTTCTCTCGATCTCCTCCTGTGGCGGCTCTCGACTAAGCGTCGGATCGCCCTGCAGCAGTTGCGGCGGCGACCCTTTTGATTCCTCGATTGGCCGCCTGCCTTCCGCTTCTGCCCGTTTTCTCTGCGCCACGGCCTCGTTCTCCTCCCTGCTCAGCTCGGCAGGACCACTCAATTCACCCAATCCGCCCTCTCCCTCCTCAGACTCCTCCCATCTCGAGCTGGCCTCTTCCGACTCGGCGTCCTCCAATTCGTGATAATCGGGATCGTCCGACCCAGCTTCCGATTCTTCCTCCTCTAGCATTTCCTCTCGTTCTATATACTGAAGATGATCGTCCTTCTGGATCTCTTCCTTAGCTGCTTCGTCTTCCTCTTCCTCCTCTCCGGCTTTCTCGCTGGTTTCTCCTACGTTCACTCGTCGGATGCGAGAGTCCCAGAAGGACAGATCAACGACGTCGATGGCAAGGTACACGCCCTCAGAGGGGTAGTAGCAGATATCCCCGTCAAGCTTCGTGCACGTAGACCACAGGAGATGGGGGACCAAGGTACGAGCGAGCGTGGCCCTCCCCGGCCTCTCGCCGCAGCGCGAGAGGATTTCCAAAGGCAGATTGTCCATTAGTTGGGCCAAAAACACCAGCAACTCGTCCGTAATCGAATCCAGGTGGCCGTCATGCACTTCCCCGACTCGGAGCACGATCCCCAGAAGCTCTCCCTCTGTGTCCATTCTCGAGGCCTGGATGATCAATAACTCCACCTCGTCATCGTCCTCCTCGCTCTTGTCAGCAGGCTCCACCCAATGGAAGACGACTTCGAGGAGGTAGAAGTTGAGTGCCACGTAAGCGTGCCACCATTGTGCCGACTTGGCCGCGTCCAGAATCGACACGTCCAACTGCCTGATTCTGAAGGATAGAGCGGCGTCCAGGCAGGGCGAAAGGGAGAAGCTCCGGGAGGAGGACCTCTGGTGCGGTGGAGGAGACCCGAAGCTGGAGATCGACGTCGTTGGTTGTCACGATGTGATCGCGCGGCCAAGCCAGAAATCGCACCCACGTAGTCATGATGTCTGTTGCCCAGCCCCGCAGCTGCCGGAAGATCTCGGTATGCCTCCGCGGATGCAGTGTCGTGATGTCGCCTGTGAAGACGATAAGGACAGACACGAGGTTCTCGCCAGGTGGAGACAGGCGTAGGAAGGCCGACACCTTGGCCAATACACGTGCCGCCTTGGCCTGCGTGAATCGGAACTCCGCCGCCACGTGGATGGCCGTTGTACTGATGAAGGCCGCGAATCGAAGAAGATCTGGACTCAGTCGAGGACACTGCACTTGTCGGATTGCAGAGATAGCTCCCCCGGGTACCATTAGTCGCTCGCTAACGACTTGTTCGGTGGAAAAGCTCATGGCGATCGCGAGAGAGACGAGGGATGAGAAGAAGAGGGATCAAGGTAGTCGAGATGGTCGTGTTCCTCCTCGCAATCGAGGGACGACGTGGATGATGGAAGAGAAGGGGAGGATGGGAGAGGACGAAGGTAGGACACGCTATGTATCACCCGCGGTCGTCACCGCGGGCCATTTGACCGCACACAGTCGGCAACTCGACCTCAGCCCGCGGCCAAGTGCGGTCGGAATACCCCAACATTTTTAAATCCTGGGATAATAGGCCAAAAAATAAAATAAAAATATGAGGTTGTAGGTTTTAGTGTGCTCTACAACCGTATAAGTTTTGTTTTATTTTTTTACGTTGCTTTCGATTTTTAAAAAATAAAAAACAGAAATCCCTCAGGCAAAAGTTCTTCACTTTATTCTTTTAGTAAGAAAAATAAAGATTTTGTTTGATTTCTATCTCAAATTTGGTAACGAATTTTGATACGAACCCGAGGCAAAAATTGTTTAGTTTATTTTTGGGCATAACATATCTTTTTTTCATATTTTGTAGAATTTGTTTGTTTTTCTTTTTTTCTTTTTATGACCGCGGACCGTGGTCATGACCACGACCTCGTGGCCGAGACCGTGGTCCGCGGTCGTGCCCGCAACGACCGCGACCGTGGGGGATTCATAGAGGACATGTGTCGAATGATCGAGCGATCTGATTGACTTCCTGACACCTTTGACGCGAGCCGAACCGTGTTCACTCCATTGAGACCGAGCTCGACTACGTGAAATCGCCCGAAGAATCATGGCGCTAGCTTACCCTGGCGAACACATTTTCTCACCTGCACTATGTCCCCTAATTTATATTGGGGCCGAGGTCCAGCGTTCCCATTTTGGGCCTCGTAACTCCGGGTCTGACGTCCCCTAATTTATACTGGGGCCGAGGTCCAGCGTTCCCATTTCGGGCAACTAATTTCATTGAATGCGGGTTTTCCGTTCAGAAACTGAACGGAATGCACGCGCGTTCAATGAACGGGACCAAACGCGGAGTTCAATTCCCCGCGGGAAAAAAAAAAAAAAAAAAAACCCTAAAAAAATTCCGAAAAAAAAAATGTTATGAAGAAAAATAAAATAAACAACATATAGGTGCCCAATGGGCAGTGGAATCCGGTGATCCAGAGCTCGAACAATATCCAAAACATCGATTTCCCTAGTGACGAAGGTAGGACCACCTGACTCCATTTCTCTTGGAGAAGGTCTCCATTCAGCTATCCCTCGTTGTTCGTTTGCTGGCCGGATAGTTCTGATTATTCCCAACTCCGGGTAACCCAACGTGATGTATTAGTCAAGTGAAATAAGTTTCGCGACTTCCTAATTAGTGGCTACCTCACTTCCTCGATCTTCCATCTCTTCAATCATCGTACCCACCCTTCCTGGTCCATTGGCTACAGCCTACCGTCGCTGCCGCCACCGGGGCGGCTCCAACTCGAGCTTGTACCGGTCGGTGTGGGCAGTCTCGGACTATGTGGCCTGACTGATGACATGTGTAACAAACGTTCGGATTGGCCGCCGCTCCGCCCATGGCTTGAGCGCGGGCGATTCCTTGCAGCGCTGGCGCGACCCTGACGGCAATGGGACGCATTGATCTCATCCGTGATTCTATCCTAGCGTTGTGCTCCCATTGTTATTTCTTACTTTCCTACATCAAGCTAACTAAGGTTCGAGTCAATTCTAGTATCGCATTTGATTTGCTTGACTTGGTCGAAGTGTCCAGGGGAGGCGCAAAAGCTGCCATAATGGGAAGTCCTGTGGTAACCGTTGTGTTCGGTATCAGTCTCTTAGCTACAATATGCTCTAAGTAAGTGAATGGGCCGGAGACGAAACCCATATTCTCAAATTTGTTATGAAGCGCGACCAGCTCGGCTTTCGCTCTGGCCTATGTGACACCAGCGGCCTTGGCCGCGGGCATTTCGGCCGCTGCGGCCGATGAGGCCCAGTCCGCGGCCTGGTTTTTCAATATTTCACCCCCCCCCCTAAAAACACGTTAAAAAAACAAAAAAACATATGGGGGTGTAGGGCTTGGAAAACCCTACACTCCTATATTTTTGTTTTTTGAAATCCGACTTTGTTCAAGATTTTTTTTAAATCAAAAACTGAAATCAATTCAAACCTAGGGAGATATCCCGGGCGTCCGGTTCCCGACGTCACGCCCGGTTTGGCGACTGGGTGACCGACCAGGAATGACCCCCGGGCATCGGGCCGGGCAGCCAAGTG